CCCCCCCACACCATGCACCCCCGCCTCTCACCATCCCTCAAATAGACTGCTTCTTGGTTTAAAAAATCCACAAAATAAAATCGTGTGGATTCCTGGAAATTATAAATAAAATGAGAGATTGCAGCTCTGACAGCATGGAGTGGGTTGGGTCAATGGGTACAGAGAAAACATTCAAATGCAGTCTATGATGTAACATTTACTCTGACAACACTTTCATAATCATCTCTCTGTCCAGATTCTGATGGAGGGTCAGACCCAACTCAAAATATAAATCAGTCAACACAGTGTGGAGCTGGATGAACACAGCAGGCCAGGCAGCATCAGAGGAGCAGGAAAGCTGATGTTTCGGGTCGGGACCCTTCTTCAGGACTGTGGATGGGGAAAGGAGCTGGGAAATAAAGAGGGGTGGGGCTGGGGAACGAAGGTGGGATGGTGATAGGTGTGTGCAGGTAGGCAGTGGTGGGGTTTGGTCAGTGGATAGGGTGGGGCGGATAGGTGGGAGAGAAGATGGACAGGCGGGGAGGAGAGGGAGGCTTGGACATGAGATGAGGCCGGGAATAGTGAATTCCATGTTTAGGCCATTGGGCTGTAGGCTCCTGAGGCAGAATATGAGGAGTTGCTCCTCCAGTTAGCGTGTGATATCATTGTGACACTGGAAGAGGCCCAGGATGGACATGTCACCCAGAGAGTGGGAGGGCGAGTTGAAATGGTTGGTGACTGGAAGTGCTGTTGATTATAGTGTACGGAGCGTAGATGCTCCACGAATCAGACCCTGAGTCTGTGCTTTGTCTCACTGATGTAGAGGAGGCCTCATCGGGAGCAATGAATACAGTAGACCAGGTTAGAGGGTGTACATGAGCCTCTGTCTGATATGAAAAGTTTGATTTGTGTGTTGGATGGAGGTGAAGGGGGAGGTGTAGGGGCAGGTGTAGCACTTCCTGCAGTTGCAGGGATAGGTGCCAGGAGTGGTGGGGTTGGTGGCGAGTGTGGAGCGGATGAGGGAGTCGCAGATAGGGGTGGGGAGGGAAATATCTCTTTGGTCTTGGGGTCGGATTGTAGGTGGCAGAAAAGGCGGAGAATGATATGCTGGATGTGGAGGTTGGTAGGGTGGTATGTGAGGACCAGGGAGACTCTGTCTTCATTTTTGTTGAGGAGAGGAGGTTTGAGGGCAACAGTGCAGGAAACACAAGAGATGCAGTTGAGGGAATTTTGGTTCAATGGAGATGGGGGATGTTGCGTCCTTAAAGTGTCGATTTTCCTGCTTCTCTAATGCTGCCTGGCCTGCTGTGTTCCTCCAGCTCCACACTGTGTTGACTCTGACTCCAGCATCGGCAGTTCTTGCTATCTCAAAATATAACTCTGTTTCTTGCACACTTTGAGTTTATTCTGGGGACTTTGGACCTGTACTCGATGGAGTTGAGAAGGATGAGGGGGGATCTGATTGAAACTTACAGAATGCTGACAGGTCTGGCCAGAGTGGACGTGGTGAAGATATTTCCACTTAGCAGGACTGACTAGGACCAGAGGGCACAACCTCAGAGTGAAAGGCTAACCATTTAGAACTTAGATGAGGAATTTCTTCAGCCAGAGGTTGTAACTAATTGCCTCAGAGGACTGTGGAGGCAAAGTCATTGAGTGTATTTCAGAGCAAAATAGATAGGTTCTTGTTTGGTAAAGAGATCAAGGTTTATGGGGAGAAGGCAGGAGAATGGGGTTGAGAAACGTATCAGCCGTGATCAAATGGTGGAGCAAATTTGATGGGCTGAATGGCTTAATTCTGTTCCCATAGCTTCTGGTCTTATTATTGATGGATGTTTGTTTAAGGAGGTTCTGGAATCAAGTGTAGATTGAGTTGGATACAAATCAGCCATGACCTGATGGATAGCAGAACAGGCTGGAGAGGCTGAATGGCCTATCGGTGACCAGATGAAGCCTCTGAAGCAGCTGGTTATGAGGGGGCTGGATACTCAGTCACTGGTGTCACTAATACTGCCTGACCTGCTTCTCTTTGCATCCAGTTACCAAATCAATGCTCGCACTGAACTGGCAGTCCGTTACAATGACATCTCGCCCCTTGAGAATCATCACTGTGCCTTCACATTCCAAATCTCCTCCCAGCCTGAGAGTAACATATTCAGCAACATGGACCCTGAAATCTTCAAGCAGGCCCGTCAGGTGAGCAACATGGGTCAAGAGAGAAAGGGCTTCCTGCTCCTGTACAGTTAACTGTACGTTAGAAAAAACTTTTGACAGGAGACCATTCAGCCCCTTTCTGCTAGCTCACCATTCAATGGGATCATGGGTGATCTGCAAACAAACTCCATTTATTGTCCTACATTGGACCCACATTTCCTACTTTGAAACTAAAAAGTGAAATTCCACGTTTTAAAAAACTAATTTATGGGATGTGAGTGTAGCTGGCTGGGCCTAGAAGGTGGGGGTGAGCTGCCTTCTCAAACCACTGTACACCCACAATGCCCTTGGGGGGAATTTCTTCACTGTTGCTGGGTCAGAATCCTGGAATAGCAATATATTTCCAAGTCAGAATGGTGAGTGGCTTGGAGGGGAACTTTTTATGATCATTCTTTCCCAGAAGATCCTTTGCTATAAGCTCTTTAATTTATCTTGTCTTGTTGCCCTTTACCAACTTGAAAATAGCCTGGTCCCTTGTTGGTTCCAGACTGGACACTGTTATAAATATACTCAATGAGCATATCTTCCAGGCTACTTTGCCAATTTGGTTGGTCCAATTGATATGACAAGATTAAATGCCCTCATGTTGATTGCAGTACATTTCTGGCTATTGTTGGGCAGGGCGAGTTCATTTCCTTTTCTATTTTGTGTCTCTGTCAACCCTGATTCTAAACTTTAATCCTCCAAATCAAGCTCATTTCTCAACACTCCACTGAAACATAGAATCCCTACAGTATACAAACAGGCCAGTCAGCCCAACAAATCCACACCGACACACCCTATCCCTGTAACTCTGCATTTCCCATGCCTAACCCACCTAATTTACACATCCCTGGACACTATGGGCAATTTCCCATGGCCAATCCACCCAACCTGCATATCTTTGGACTGTGGGAGGAAACGCACACAGACACAGGGAGAACATACAGACTCCACACAGATAGTCGCCTGAGGATGGAATTGAACCTGGGTCCCTAGCACTGTGAGGCAGCAGTGCTAACCACTGAGCCACCGTGCCATTGATCACATTCTGTATTAACAGAGACACCTCACCATAATTTCCTTCTCTCCTGTTTATTCAAAATGTTAAATACCTTTGACAATGTCACATAACACTCTCTCTGCAGCCTCTCTTGACGGTACAGTTTGTAAAAACCCTGAATTTGTTGGGCAATTGGGCAGCCTAGGGCTCCTCCATTGCTGTAGCAGCCTCTTACAGTCAAAGGCTCTTGGCCAGTGGAGAGCCAATCCGAAGAGGAAGGACAGGTGCCCTTCAGCCTTTTTGATGTATTGCAGTGTGCAATGTTCACATTCAGCAACATTAACTCTTGAGCTAAAGTTCCTCAATTAATATAATTCAGATTAATGTATAATGTTATACAATCAGAGTGATGGTGTTTTAATGGGTTGGGGGTGATGGTATTGACAGGGTTGGTGTTTCCACTGGGCTATTTCCAGAAAGGAGTTGGCTCAATTAGGGGCAGGAAGGATACTTTGTTTCAGGGATGTGTCTTCTATGCCTGACGGTCAGCTATCTCTCTGTGTGTCTGTATATGTCACTGTCCGCCTGTCTGTGCCTGTCTCTCTCTCTCTCTCTGCCTGTCGCTCTCACCCATCTTCCCCCCCCGCACCCCCCTCCCCCCACGCCTGCTTGTCGCTCTCCCCCTTTCCCCTCTGCCTGTCTGATGCTGGTTCCAGGGAATCATCAATCTGATTCTGGCAACTGACATGGCTCGGCACGGCGAGATCCTCGACAGTTTCAAACAGAAAATTGACAACTTTGACTTCTCGAATGAGGAAGATGTGACCTGTGTAAGTAACAAACTGAACCAAGAGAGTGACAGAAAGCAGTTCTAAGATTCCGGGCTGTATTTTAACTTTAATTGAAAATTTAAGCCAATGACAATGATGAATGGAATTGAGGTTTTCAGCCAGTCCATACACTGGTTGAACACCGAGTGTTGTGATATTGGTCTGAAGTTCCTCTTTGGTCTTGGCTTTGGTCTTGGTTCCTGTGTGTTGAAGTCACATACACCCCAGGCCTGAGTCACTCTCACTAGCCCCTAGCTCCTGCACATGATCACAGGTATCCTCAACTCTGGTTTATTACCAGGTTATGATCAGTCCTGGATTGGCTGAATGATACATCCCCAAATGCCGAATGGTTCCTTTAAGGGTAAGTGGCCAGGCGGTGGTGCTGGATGAGGACTGCTCACAGATCTTTCTGAGACCTTTCACCTGACTCCAGGATGGTGTGTCATCACCCTGGTGCCAGGGTCACAGAGCGGCTGTAGGACACTGGGGAGGTGGGAGGTTAACAGCCAGCGGTTGTACTGCAATCAACATGAGGTCGTGGTTGCCATGGTACCAGTGACAGGTAGAAAGAGGGAATGAGATCCAGCAAGTAGCCTTGAGGGATCTCGACCTGAAACTGAAAGCACGACCTTGAAGTAATCTCAAGATTGTTTCTAGAACTGTCTGCCAGTGAGAATCGAAATAGGATGATTGAGTGAGTGATGATGGATAAGTGATGCAGGAGGGAGGGCTTTAAGTTTCTGGGGCAGCTGGAGTTGTGACCCACTGAGGAAAGTGGGTGATTCTCAAGCTGCACTACCCCCACAGTCAACACAAAACATAGAACCATAGAATCCCTACAGTGTGGGAACAGGCCCTTCGGCCCAACAAGTCCACACCGACCCACAGAGCATCCCACCCAGACCCAACCAACCTAATCTACTTATCGCTGAACACGATGGGCAATTTAGCATGGCCAATCCACCTAACCTGCACATCTTTGGACTGTGGGAGGAAACCAGAACACTCAGAGGAAACCCACGCAGACACAGGGAGAATGTGCAAACTCCACACAGACAGTCGCCTGAGGGTGGAATCAAACCCGGGTCCCTGGCGCTGTGGGGCAGCAGTGCTAACCACTGAGCCACCGTGCTGCCAATGGTTTTATTGAATCACCAAGTCCCTGATTTAACTGTCTGATTACATAAACGAACAGTAATTACTGACAATTTTCCTGGACTGGACGAGAATTACTGTTTATTAAAATGAATAAGTTGTAGCCATAACAGCTGTCAACTATCAGCATCTACATGGCCACTTGGAAAACTGTGACAGTGATTGGGCAGAGTTAGCAAAAATTCATAAAATGGGAAATCATGTTTTACAAATCGACTGGAATTCTTCAAGGATGGAGCCAGTAGAGTTGATAAGGGGAAACTCAATGGATGTGATTTACTTGGATTTTTAGAAGGTTTTCAATAAGGTCCCACACAAGACATTAGCATGTAGAAACAAAGTGCTTGGTAATGGGGATCGTGTACCGACATGGAGAGAGAATCGACTGGCAGACAGGAAACCGAGAACAAGAATAAATGGGTCTTTTTCTATGTGGCAGTCAGTGATTTGTGGGGTACCAGAGGGATCAGTGCTTGAAACCCAGTTATCCACTATACTGTCTATGTTAATGACTTAGATGAGGGAACCAAATGTAATATCTCCAAATTTATAGATGCTCGCTGATGTTACTCCGGGAATGAAATCTGCCACCCTCACCTGGTCTGGCCTACATCTGACTCCAGACACAGAGCAACGTGGTTGACTTACAACCACCCTCTGAAATAGCCTCGCAAGTATGGAGAGTATTGACCGAGGCCCTGGAAAAGACAATGGCAGAAACAGCCCTATTGACCATGTAGAGTCCTCCTCACTAATATCTGGGAGCTACTGCCAAAAATTGGGAGAACTGTCTCACAGACTAGTCAAACAACAGCCTGACATAGTCATACTCACAGAATCATACCTTACAGACAATGTCCTAGACATCACCATCACCATCCCTGGGTATGTCCTGATCCACCGGCAGGACAGACCCAGCAGAGGGGGCAGCACAGTGGTATACAGTTGGGAAGGTGTTGCACTGTGAGTCCTCAACATTGACTCCAGACTCCATAAAGTCTCACGGCTTCAGGTTAAACATGGGAAGGAAACCTCCTGCTGATTACCACATACCGTCCTCCCTCAGCTGATGAATCAGTATTCCTCAATGTTGAACAACACCTGGAGGAAGCACAGAGGATGGCAAGGGTACAAAATGTACTCTGGGTGGGGGATTTCAATGTCCACCACCAAGAGTGGCTCAGCAGCAGTACTACTGATCGAGCTGGTCGGGTCCTAAAGGACATAGCTGCTAGACTGGGTCTGCGGCAGGTGGTGAGGGAACCAACATAAGGGGAAAAAACATATTTGACCTCATCCTTACCAATCTGCCAGCTGCAGTTACATCTGTCCATGACAGTATCGGTAAGAGTGACCATCGCACAGTCCTTGTGGAGACGACGTCCCGCCTTCACATTGAGAACAACCTCCATCGTGTTGTGTGGCACTATCACCGTGCTAAATGGGACAGATTTCACACAGATCTAGCAACTCAAGACTGGGCGTCCATGCGGCGCTGTAGGCCATCAACGGCAGCAGAATTGTACTCCAGCACAATCTGTAACCTCATGGCCCGGCATATCCCCCACTGAATCATTACCATCAAACCAGGGGGACCGTTCTGAGGAAGGGTCACCGGACCCGAAACGTTAACTCTGTTTTTTTCCTTCACAGATGCTGCCAGACCTGCTGAGCTTTGCCAGCAACTTTGTTTTTGTTTAAGCCAGGGGATCAACCCTGGTTCAATGGAGAGTGCAGGAGGGCATGCCAGGAGCAGCACCAGGGAAACCTGAAAATAAGCTCTGCAGTCCTGCCAGACCCAGTCAGGAATGGTGGTGGACAATTAAGCAACTCACTGGAGGAGGAGGCTCCACAAATGTGGTCGGCACAGTGGCTCAGTGGTTAGCAGTGCTGCCTGACAGCACCAGGGAACCACGTTCAATTCCACCCTCGGGTGACTGTCTGTGTGGAGTTTGCACATTCTCCCCGTGTCTGCGTGGGTTTCCTCCGGGTGCTCTGGTTTCTTCCCACATTCCAAAGATGTGCAGGCTAGGGTCGATTGTAGGGATGTGTAGATTAGGTGGGTTATAGGGGGATGGGTCGGTGTGGACTTGTTGTGTCGAAGGGACACTGTAAGGATTCTATGATTACTGATCCCCATCCTCAATGATGGAAGAGCCAGCACATCAGTGCAAAAGATAAGGCTGAAGTAGTCGCAGTAATCTTCAGCCAGAAGTGCCGAGTGGATGATCCATCTCGGCCTCCTCCAGTGGTCCCCAGCATTACAGATAGCAGTCTTCAGCCAATTCGATTCACTCCACATGATATCAACAAACTGTTGGAGACACTGGATATTTTGCTGGGTGATAGTAGATATTCCTACTATTAAGCCTGCCAGGCTACTCAACCTCATTTCTGTGTTAGTTTAAGTATATCACAGTCTTTGTGCCTGATTCCTATAACCACATTGTGCCTTTCACTGTGAATACTGACACAAAATATTCATTTACAACCCCACCTACGTCCTCTGGCTCCACACACAAATTACCAGTATAGTCTTTAATGCTCCTCCTCTTTCCCCAGTTATCCTTTCATCCTTAACATACATGGAAATAACTTAAGGTTTTCCTTTTATTTTTTCTGCCATTGTTCTTTCAGGCCTCCTTTTTGCTCTCCTAATTGTCTTTATAAAGTTTTCTTCTTGCACTTTCCATACTCATCTAGGGTTTCTGCTGTTTTGAGCCTGCGGTATCTGCTATAAGGCCCCCCTTTCTCTTTATCCAATCCAGTCTATCCCATGATGTCCAGGGATCACAGGTTTTGTGGTTCCCACCTTTTATCGTTATTGAAACATGTTGGTCCCGTACTCTCCCTATTACCACCTTGAATTTGTCCCACCAATTATTCCACTGTCCAGACAGAGAATAGCCTCAAAGTGTCTGCTTCTGGTCTACTCTGGTCAAATCATGCCTGATAGTATCAAAATCAGTGTTCCCACAGTTTTGAACTTTTAGTTCAGACACATCCTGTCCTACATAGAACAGTACAATACAGGAACGGGCCCTTTGGCCCACGATGTTGTGCTGAACATGATGCCAAATTAAACTAATCCTTTCTGCCTGCCCTTGGTCCATATCTCTCCATTCCTTGCATATTCATGAGCTCATCTAAAAGTCTCTTACATGCCCCTATCGTGTCTGCCTCCACCACCACACCTGGCAGTGTATTCCACACTCCTATCACATTGTGTGAAAAAACGTGTCCCTCACAACTGCTTTGAACTTTTCCCTCGCACCTTAAATGCATATCCCCTAGTTTTAGACATTTTAATTCTGGGAAAAGGATTCTGACCGTTAACCCTATCTCGTAATTCTATAGGTTTCTATCAAGTTTCCCCACGGCCTGCACCACTCCAGAGAAAACAACCTGAGATTTTCTAGCCTCTCCTTATAGTTCATACCCTCAAATCCAGGCAGCATTCTGATAAAACTCTTCTGCACCCTCTCCAAAGCCTCCATATCTTCTCTGTAATGTAGCAATCAATATTGAATGTCATTCTCTAAGTGTGGCCTAACCAAAGTCTTATAAAGCTGCAACATGACATCCTGACTCTTGTACTCAATTCCCCAACCAATAAAGGCAAGCATGCCATACACCTTCTTTACTAGCCTATCTACTTGTGTGGCCACTTTCAGGGAGTTATCGACTTTATCCCCAAGATCCCTCTGCACATCAGTGTTGTTCAGGGTCCTGCTATTAACTATATACTTTTCCTTAACATTTGATTTCCCAAAGTGCAGCACCTCATACTTACTCCATCTGCCATCTCTCTGCTGATATCTACAATTGATCTATAACCCACTGTATCCTTTGACAACACTATCCACAGCTCCACCAATCTTTGTGTCATCTGCAAACTTACTAACCCACGCATCTACATTTTTAGTCTGTCCAACTGACTTTTCTCTCTTTGGGCTCTATACCCATACATTATTTTGTCCTTATCCCCTCCCCCCACTCTATTTTCAGCATATAAACCAACAATTTCCTAGCTACCATCAATTCTGAGCAACAGAAATGTTAACTGATTTTTCTTTACACATGCTGCCAAATCTGCTGAGCTTTTCAGGCAACTTCTGTTTTTATTTCAGATTTATGGCATCCACATTTTACATTTTCATCAAAGTCATTTATATATATCACAAACAGCAGAGATCCCAGTTGGATCCCTGTGGAACACCACTGGTCATAGATTTCCAACCTGAAAAACACCCTTCCACCACTACCCCCTTACTTCTATGGGCAAGCCAATTCTGAATCCACGCAGTCATCACTGTGCATCCCATGCATCTTAATCTTCTAGATGAGCCTAACATGAGGGACCTTGTCAAAAGCCTTATTAAAATCCATGTAGACAACATCCATTGATCCTCATTGATCACCTTCGTCACCTCCTCGAAAAATTCAATCATGTTAGTAAGACATGGCCTGCCCTGCACAAAACCATGCTGACTGTCCCTAATTAGGTCATGCTTTTCCAAATGCATGTAAGTTCTATCCCTAAGAATTCTTTCCAGTAGCTTCCCAACCACTCATCTACAGTTTCCTGGATTATCCCTACTTCCCTTCTTGAACAGATAACAACATTAGCTACTCACCAGTCCCCTGGGACCTCTCCAGTGGCTCGTGAGGATACAAAAGTCTTGCTCAAGACCCCAGCAATCTCCTCTCTTGCTCCTCTGAATAACCTGGGGTAGATACCATTGGACCCTGAAGGCTTATCCACCTTAATGCTCTTCAAGAGACCCAACACCACTTCTTTCTTGTTCTCAAAAGCCCTGGCACGTTAGGAAACTCCACACAAATCTTGCTATCCTCTATATCCTTCTCCTGGGTGAACACCAGTGCAAAATATTCATTTAGGACCTCCCCACATTCTCTGTCTCCAAGTGCAAGTTCCATCCTTTAAGCTTGAGTGAATTCCAAGGCATTCTAAACATACATTAAAAACAAGAGGATAACTAGGGAGAAGGTAGGACCCTCCTGTACAGGATACCAATACATCACTCCCTACACCATGATCTTTTATTTAGTGCAATAACCTTTGGTGTGGCACCTTGTCAAATGCCTCCTGGAAATCTAAATACAGTACATTGACCGGCTCCTCTTTATTCATAGCACATGCTACTTCCTCAAAGAGAACTGCAAGTTACCAGGTCTCTTCCAAGTCACTGAACAATCGAGAGGCTGAATACACTACTCCCAGTTGTCAGTCAGGTGTTCATATATAACAAAACTTCAACTGGGGGAAAGCTAGTTAGAATCACACTTGAGATAAAGGAAGATAGATGGTTGTGATTGTTGGGGGTCAGTCATTTCAGCTCCAGGACCTCTCTGCAGGAATTCCTCAGGATAGTGACCTAGGGCCTGCTCAGTGGGGAGGGGCCTTGGGCCCGGAGTAATTTCTGTTTTCCGTCTACGTGCAGCTGAAGATGATTCTGATTAAATGCTGCGACATCTCAAATGAAGTGAGGCCAATGGAGGTGGCAGAGCCTTGGGTGGACTGTTTGCTGCAGGAATACTTCATGCAGGTACTGACTGCACAACCCCTCCACCCTGACCCCTGTGAAGTCCCACATTTACTCTCTGTGACCCCCAACAATGACTCTACACTCTAACACCCCCTGTCCCCTCCTCCCTGTGACCCCAATGGACCCCGTTTGCTTCCTGCCTTCCCTCTCTGTTCTGATTGGTTATTGCAGAGTGACCGGGAGAAAGCCGAGGGATTGCCCACTGCCCCCTTCATGGACCGGGAGAAAGTGACAAAGGTCACCGCCCAGATTGGCTTCATCAAGTTTGTTCTCACCCCCATGTTCGAGCTGGTGGCCAAGGTGAGAAATGGAGTTTCTCCCCAAAATCATCCCCCAGACACCCACTCCCACAACACCCTTGCCCCGACACACACTCCCTAACACCACTGCACCACAACACCCTTCCCTCAGACACCCTCCCCCACTGAGACCCATCTCCCTCCCAGACACCCTGCCCCACTGTTACCCAACCACCCTCCCCCACCAACATCCTTCCCTCAGACACCCTTCCCCACTGATACCCTTCCTCCTGACAGGGCGGTGGTGGTTCTCTGGGAAGAGGGAGGTGGTCAATGGGAGGAAGTGAGAGAGTACGAGGTGATGAGCAGGCCAATGAGGGGAGCAAGGCGGGAGGGGTCACAAAGCAGAGGGCTTTAACTGGGACAGTGTGAGGGGGTCATGGGGGAGAGGGAGAGAGACACAGAGGGAGTGAGGGAGTAGGGACTGAAGGGCAGGCCATTGAGGGGAGTGAGGCTACTGCCGGAGGAGCAGCGAGGAGACCAGACCAGGCGTCCCAGTTTAAGGATAAAGTAAACAAGGAGAAATGTCATCACCCAGAGGGTGGGGAGCCTATGGAATTCACTAGTACAGAAAGAGGTTTAGGCCAAAGTATTGAATGTTTTTAAGAAGGAATTCGATACAGTTCCTGGGGCTAAAGGGATCGAAGGGTATTGGGGACAGAGTGGGAACTGGGGACTGAGTGGATGAACTGCCATCATCTCATTGAATGGTGGAGCTGACTCAAGGGGCTGAATGGCCTCCTCCTGTTCCCTTTTCTCTGCTTCTATCAATGAAATGGTGGGAACTTGCTATTTCAGTCTGTTGTTTAATAAATATTGACAAGTTGCTGTCTTTCAATTCAGCTGTTCCCTCAGATTGAAGAACCATTGGTTCAGCCACTGAGAGAATCACGGGACCGTTACGAGGAGCTAAAGCAAATTGATGATGCTACAAATGAGGTAACATGAATCTGCTGTCATGGTTCCGCCCCCACCGTTCACTTCCCCATTCACTAACCTTTCCCCATCACTCTGTCTCACTGTAATGTTATCAATTATTAAGGAAGTAATCGCAGAACATTTGGAAATCTAATCAAGCAGAGTCAGCATGGTTTCATGAAAGTGAAATCATGTCTGACTGATTTATTAAAGTTTTTTTAAGGAAGTCTCAACCAGAGTGGATAGAGGGGAACCAGTAGAAGTGTTATATTTGGACTTCCAGAAGGTATTTGACAAGATACCTCACAGAAATTCACCAAAGATCCTCAGACAGCACCTTCCAAACCCCAGACCACTTCCATGTAGAAGGACAAGGGCATCAGACATATGGGAACACCACCACCTCCAAGCCACTCACCATCCTGATTTGGAAATATATCGCCGTTCCTTCACTGTCGCTGGGTCAAAATCCTGGAATTCGCCCCCTAATAGCATTGTGGGTCAACCCACAGCAGGTGGACTGCAGCGGTTCAAGAAGGCAGCTCACCACCACCTTCTCCAGGACACCTAGGGATGGTAAGAAATGCTGGCCAGCCAGCGATGCCCACATCCTACAAATGAATATGAAAAAAAAGTCATGAAAGAATAGCCTTGTGGTGTTGGAGGTAGTATATTGTGATGGATAGAGAACTGGCTCATGGACAGGAAACAGCGAGTGGGAATAAGGGGCTCCAATTAAGGTCGGTGACCCATGACCCGTGGGATTCCACAGGAATTGGTGCTGGTACTGTAACTATTTACAATATGTATTAATGATTTGGAGGGATGAAGTGAATGTACTGTAGCCAAATTTGCAGATGACAAAAATATGTGGAAAGGCAGGCTGAGAGAGGGATGCAAACAGTTTACAGAGAGATATTGATAGGGTAAGTAAGTGGGCAAAATGTTGAAAATGGAGCATAATGGGGGAAAACGTGTAGTTGTTCATTTTGAAGGGGAAAACAAAAGAACAGAATATTACTTAAATGGAAATAAAATGCAGAAAGCTGTAACACAAAACGACTTGGGGGAATGTGTGCACAAAACACAGCTAACACACAGGAACAGCAGGTAATCAGGAAGGGTAATGGAATGTTGGCCTTTATTTCAAGGGCGTTGGAGTATAAGGATCGGCAGGTCTTATTGCAACTGTATAAGGTGCTGGTGAGACCATGTCTGGAGTACTATGAGCAGTTTTGGTCCCCCCATTTAAGGAAGGAAATCACTTTGATGGAGGCAGTTCAGAGAAAGTTCACCAGGATGATCCCTGGAATGGAGGGATTGTCTTATGAGCAAAGACTAAACAGATTTGGATACTACCCTCTGGAGTTTAGAAGAATGAGAGGTGATCTGACTGAAACATATAGGATTCTTGAGGGGTTTGACAGAGTAAATGCTAAGAGGATGTTTCCCCTCACGGGATAGTCTAGGATCAGAGGGCATAATCTTGTAATAGAAGGGCACCAATTTAAGACTGAGATGAGGGGGAATTTCCTTTCTCAGAGGGTTAAGAGTCTTTGGAACTCCTTGTCACTGAGAGCTGTGGGGGCAGCGTCTTTGTGTATATTTAAGGCTGAGATAGATAGATTGATGGACAAATAGACCCATTTGACCAGCAGGAGAATCCAGGGTTACAGGGAAAGGGCAGGAAAGAGGAGAATTGTCGGTTTAGCCATAATTCTGTTAAATGGTGGAGCAGGCTGAATGGTCTATTCCTGTTCCTATTTTGTATTGTTTAATGTCACTGCAGTGTCTCACTTTCCTGTTAAACTGGTTGATTTTTGTGACAGCGTCTGGTGGTGAGTCAGCCAATAACCAATAGGGATTTTACAATTTCTGAATGTTTACATTTTCAGATTCACAAAAACAAAAATGAATCTTTATCCATCGGTGGCAAAAAGAAGTGAAACTGTCCTGGTGCGTGATTGAGGTGAGCAGCTCATTCCTGGGAATCTCTGCAGGGATAGTTTTGATGGAGTGAATTATTGTACCTCTACGGTTTGATGGGATAGGGTTTTACTGGGGTTCTCTGGCAGGGCTGGGGGTCTGGGCCTGGAGGTTGTGTGTGTGTTCAGGAGGTTGGTGGGGGGGTAGTGGGTGCCAGGGTGGTGTGGTGGCGTTAGTAGCTGAGGGGTTCTGGAGAAGTCTGGTCAGATTGCAAGAGGGTAACTGATATCAGAGCCATCATCCTCAGCACTGAGTGGACAAACAGTTGGCAGGAAATGGAGTTGGGAGTTTGATTGTGGGAGCCTTGGTCTCTGGACAAGTGGGTCAGTTGCTGGGTGGTTCTGTCTCTGGAGTGTCTTGGTGTCGGAGTCAATGGGGGGGCAGGGGGTGCTTCTCAGTCTCTGAGTGTGTTCTATGGGGCTGTGTTTCTCTTTGTTGATATTTTGTAGAGTTCAGTGTTTCTGGATGACGGACTTGTCATTAATTCATAGAATCCTTTAGGAGGATAATATTCTATGGAGATACGGTTTCTGTATCACAGCCTGGGACATTGCTACTGTGAAGGAATCACCTCGTCCACACCAGGGAATTGGGAACGCCCAGCAGTGAGAGCTGTAGCTGTGAACGACAAGAGCAATCTCCTGTGACCCACACTGACAGTGACAGTGCCACAGCCACAGCTTTGGGAAATCATGTTCCTGTTTGATGTTTAATACTGGACACAATTGCAGACTCTGGAAGCTTTTCTAGTCATGTTTGGTCCGGAACCTGAAAGGAGGCCAACTATCATTCATTCGTTGAAATTGTTGGGTTTTTTATATTTGTTCAGTTGGAACTTTTCAGTTTTGAAATTCCTAGTGTCTGTTTAATATTTGTGTTGTTTTAACTTGTTTCTTTTTTTAAAAAATTGGCTTCTGATGAGGTGGTAGTGCCTTGAGTTTTTACTGGGCCTTGACTCTATTTGTTAAAGAACTGGTTGTAATAAAAATCAAACAGTTCTCGTTGGTGATATTTTATTTTCTATTGTTTGGTTGAAATTCTTGAAATGAGGAGTTTGGCTAACGGCTGATTTTGATGGTTTGTTTTATACATTTCTCACTTTTTCCTTTAATTTTCATGGTTACAATGGACAGTAATCAAAGTAAATAATTGATTTTCAAAATCCAAATATTTTCTTTTTTGGTGGTGGGGGCGATAGACATTCTCTCGCTGATAGCTATTGCTGTTTATATCAATTTTACAGGCCAACTGTTTAAAAACTGATGTCAAGTGAGAATGAGATTTTACATTTTGATATTTTAATATTAAACATTACTGATGTACTTTTGATATATTTTTCTTAAGGAAAGAATTCAGGGAAATGGGCTCAAGGCAGGTATATGGAGACAGGCCATCCCTGGGCCATGATCTTACTAAATGATGGGAACAGGCTCAAGGGGCTGACTGGTCTCTTCCTATTTCTCTGATACTGTGTTGCAACGTACTGGTTCAAAATGACATGGTCTCAAGGAAAGATTTGCTCAGCCCCTTTTACACAGGTGATTACTAAAAACAAATGATTTCTGGTATCTGGGCCAGGGGAAAGGAATGGAGCCGGTGGGTGATGTAGAGAGTGCTAAGGGTGAGCGAGCTGGCAGTAACTGAGGATCGATTTCCCATTCTACTATTTAATAGCCTGTTGCCTGAGAAATCCCACCGAGCAGCTCCCTGAAGAGGTGTCCTCCCCAGCCCAGGCCTGGAAGAAGCTGGGACCAGACTTCGGGAAATTTTTATTGATTCTTTTTAAAAAAAAATTAGTTGGTGAATTCTATTGTTGTCATGACATTTGTTTTGTATACTTTTACATATTAAAATATTTACTTACTGAAAATCAATGTGACTGAAGTTTGTTTCAGAAAGATTTGAATGATTTATCAGAACAGACAAACAACAGTTTCCACGGAGTTTGGTTCAAACATGGACAAAACAGCTGAATTCCAGAGGTGAGGTGAGAGTGACAGCTCTAGACATCAAGGAGTCCGAGCAAAACTGGAATCAGTGCGTAATAGGGTGGCAAACTCTCGGGTGGTTAGAGTCATACCTGACACACAGGAAGATGGTTGTGGTTGTAGTTGTAGTTGTAGAGGTCAGTCGTCTCAGCTCCAGGACATCTCTGGACCAACAATCTTCAACTGCTTCACCAATGACCTTTCCTCAATAATAAGGTCAGAGGTTAGGGTGTTCGCCGTTTCCGTGTGCAATATTCACCACTCGCCAGATATTGAAACAGTCCATGTTTAAATGCAACAATATCCAGGCTTGGGCTGACAAGTGGCAAGAAAATTTGTGCCACACACTGACCATCTCCAGTAAGAGTCAATCTAATAACCACCCCTGGACATTCAATGGTGTTACCATCACTGAATCCCTCACTATCAGCATCCTGGAGATTTCCATTAAGCAGAAACTCAACTGGACTCACCACACAAACGCAATGGCTACAAGAGCAGGTTAGAGGCTAGGAATACTGCAGCAAGTAACTCGTGTAACCTATTCATCATCTACAAGGCACAAGTCAGGATTGTGATCAAACACTTGGCCTGGATGGATGCAGCTCCAACAACACAAGAAGCTTGATACCATTCACGACAAAGCAGCCGCTTGATTGACACCATATCCACAAACATCTACTCCTTCCAGCACTGATGCTGAGAAGCATCAGTGCGTATGATCTACAAGATAAAGAACATAAGAAACAGGAGCAGGAGTGGCCCATTGAGCCTGCTCTGCCATTCAACAAGATCATGGCTGATCTGTTCATGGACTCAGCTCCTTACCTGCCTGCTCACCATAACCTTTAATTCTTTTACTATTCAAAAATCTATGTATCTGTGCCTTAAACATTCAATGAGGTAGCCTCAGCTAGTTCATTGAGCATGGAATTCCACAGATTCACAATCCTTTGGATGGAGATGTTCCTCCTCAACTCGGTCTTAAATCTGCTTCCCCTTTTTTGAGGCCATGCCCCCTAGTTCTAGTTTCACCCGCCAGTGGAAATAACCTCCCTGCTTCTATCTTATCTATTCCCTTCATAATTTCATATGTTTCTAAGATTCCCTCTTATTCTTCTAAATTCCAACGAGTTTAGTCCCAGTCTACTCAATCTGTCCTCATAAACCAATCCTCTCAACTCTGGAATCAACCCAGTGAACCTCCTCTGCACCCCCTCCAGTGCCAGTACATCCTTTCTTGAGTAAGCAGACCAAAACTGTACACAGTACTCCAAGTGTGGCCTCACCAGCACCCTATACAGGATGGAAACCAAATCAACCCTTCAATCCAACTCGTCCATGCCAACCAGATATCCTAAATTAATCTAGTCCCCTTTGCCAGCATTTGGCCGATATCCCTCTAAACCCTTCCTATTCATGTACCCATCCACATGCCTTTTAAATGTTGTACCAGCCTCCACCACTACTTCTAGCAGCTCATTCCATAGTGTCTCATTTAAATCTTTCCCTTCTCACTTTAAACCTACACCCTCTAGTTTTGGACTCTACTACCCTGGGGAAAAGACTTTGACTCTATCTATGCTCCTCATGATTTTATAAACTTCTATAAGGTCAGCCCTCAGCCTCTAATCCTCCAGGGAAAATAGCCCCAGTCTATTCAGCCTCTCTCTAGAAGCAGAAACTTTCTAACACTGGCAACATCGTTGTAAATCTTTTCTGAACTCTTTCAGGTTTTACAACAGCTTTCCTTATAGCAGGAAGACCAGAACTGAATGCAGTATTCCAAAAGTGACCTAACTAAACATCTCCTCTTCACTATCCTGTCTATCTGCGACTCCACTTTCAAGTAACTGTGAACCTGCACTCTAAGACCTTTGTTTGGCAACACTCCCCAGGACCTTACCATTAAGTGCGTAAGTCCTGCCCTGATTTACCTTTCCAAAATGTAACACCTCACATTTATCTAAATTAAACTCCATTTGCCACTCCTCACCCCATTGTCCCTTCTGATCAATATTCCATTGTACTAAGATAATCTTCTAAACTTCACAATCTTCAAAATCTCCCCTCCCTCACCGCATCCCAAAACCAGCCCAGCTCATCCCCACTCCTACCTACTAACCTCATGCCGCCCCCTTGACCCTGTCCGTCCTCCCTGGACTGACCTATCCCCTCCCTAACTCCTCACCTACACTCACCTTTACTGGCTCCATCCCCGCCTCTTTGACCTGTCTGTCTCCTCTTCACCTATCTTCTCTTCTATCCACCTCCCCCTCTCTCCCTATTTATTTCAGAACCCCCTTCCCCTCCCCCATTTCTGAAGAAGCGTCTAGGCCCAAAACGTCAGCCTTCCTGCTCCTCTGATGCTGCTTGGCCTACTGCATTCATCCAGCTCTACACCTTGTTGTCTCAGATTCTCCAGCATCTGCAGTTCCTACTATCTCTGAAACAATCTTCCTCACTGTCCACTACACCCCCAATTTTGGTGTCATCTGCAAACTTACTAACCATACCTCCTATGTTCACATCCAAATCATTTATATAAGAACTAGGAGCAGGAGTAGGCCATCCGGCCCCTCGAGCCTGCCCCACCATTTAATAAGATCATGGCTGATCTTTTTGAGACTCAGCTCCACTTACCTGCCCACTCACCATAACCCTTAATTCCTTTACTGTTCAAAAATTTATCTAGCCTTGCCTTAAAAACATTCAGTGAGGTAGCTTCAACCGCTTCATGGGGCAGGGAACTCCACAGTTTCACAACCCTTTGGGTGAAGAAGTTCCTCCTCAGTCCTACATCTGCTTCCCTTTATTTTGAGGTGATGCCCTCCAGTCCTAGTTTCACCTGCTAGCAGAAACAATCGCCCTGCCTCCACTTTATCTATTCCCTTCATAATCTTATATGTTTCTATAAGAATTCCAATGAGTATAATCCCAGTTTACTCAGTCTCTCCTCATAATCCAACCCTCTCAACTCTGGAGTCAACCGAGTGAATCTCCTCTGCACCCCCTCCAGTGCTAGTATATCTCTTCTCAAGTAAGGAGACCAAAACTGCACACAGTTCTCCAGGTGTGCCCTCACCAGGACCCTATACAGCTGCAGCATAGCCTCCCTGTTTTTAAACTCCATCCCTCGAGCAATGGCAGACAAAATTCCATTTGCCTTTTTAATTACCTGCTGCACCTGCAATCCTACTTTTAGCAATTCATGCACACGGACACCCAAGTCGCTCTGCACAGCAGCATGCTGCAATTTTTTTACCATTTAAAACATAGTCCATTTTGCTGTTATTCCTACCAAAATGGATGACCTCACACTTATCAACATTGTACTCCATCTGCCAGACCTTTGCCTGCTCACTTAGACGATCTATATCCCTCTGCAGACTTTCAGTGTCTTCTGCACACTTTGCTCTACCACTCACCTTAGTGTCACCTGCAAATTTTGACACACCACACTTAGTCCCCAACTCCAAATCATCTATGTAAATTGTAAACAATTAGGTCCCAATATTGATCCCCGAGGCACACCACTAGTCACTGACTGCCAACCAGAAAAACACCCATTTATGCCTACTCTTTGCTTTCTACTGGTCAACCAATCCTCTATCCATGCCAATACAGTACCTGTAATGCCGTGCAACTTTATCTTATATAGCAGCCTTTGGTGTGGCACCTTGTCAAATGTCTTCTGGAAATCCAGATACACCACATCCACAGGTTCCCCATTGTCCACCATGCAAGTAATGTCCTCAAAGAATTCCAAATTAGTTAAACATGACCTACCCTTCATGAACTCATGCTGGGTGTTCCCAATGGGGCAATTTATATAAATGACAAAAAACAGTGATTCAGCACCAATCCTTGTGGCACACCACTGGCCACAGGCCTTCAGTCTGAAAATCAACCCTTTACCACATCCCTCTGTCTCGTACTTTTGAGTTAGTTCTGTATCCACATAGCTAGTTCTTCCTGTGTTCCATGTGATCTAACCTTGCTAACCAGTCTACCATGCAGAACCTTGTTGGAAGGCCTTACTGAAGTCCAACTAGATCACATCCACCACTCTGCCTTCATCAATCCTCTTCGTTACTTTTTCAAAAGACTTAAGTTTGTGAGACACAACCTCCATTGCACAAAGCTATGTTGACTGTCCCTAATCAGTCCTTGCCTTTCCAAATACATGTAAATACTGTCCCTCGGGATCCCCTCCAACAACTTGCCCACCACTGATGTCAGCTTCGCTGGTCTACAGTTCCCTGGCTTTTCCTTACCAACTTACTTAAATAGTGACACAATATTAGCCACCCTCCAGTCTCCTGACACCTCACTGTGGCTATCAAAGATAGAAATATCTCAGCAAAGGGGCCAGCAATCACTTCCCACAAAGTTATAAGGTACACCTGATCAGGGCCCAGGAATTTATCACCTTTATGCGTTTTAGTATAACCTCCCTATTTTTAAACTCTGTCCCTCTAGCAATGAAGGACAACTTACCTTCTAATTACCTGCTACACCTGCAAACCAACTTTGTGATTCATGTACAAGGACTCCCAAGATGCACTGCAGAAATTCACCAAAGCTCCTTCGACAGCACCTTCCAAACTCATGACTATTCCATCTAGAAGGACAAGGGCAGCAGGAATATAGGAACACCACTCCCTGCAAGTTCCCCTTCAAGCCACTCACCACCCTGACTTGGAAATACATCACTATCTCTTCACTGCCGCTGAGTCAAAATCCTGGAATTCCCCCCCTCCACCCCACCCCAAGGGCATTGTGTGTCAACCCACAGCACATTCTCTCCAGCGTTTCAAGAAGGTAGCTCACCCCCACATTCTCAAGAGCAACTAGGAACAGGCTATAATTGCTGGCCAGCCAGTGACACCCATGTCCTCAGTGAATTTTAAAAAACTAGGGACTGGAATTAAATGATCAGCTAGTGATACCTGTGAGTGAATGAATGAAAAACAATTACAGTACTAACACAGTGACATTACTGCTTCAGTGTGGTCTCCCTAGTGACTAAAGAAAATCCAAGCAGTTAATTATGATATTTAATTCTGATTGATGGCCTGGCCTCCTCCTAATGCTTTGACATTCTCAGATGTTAATCAATCTCTTTACTCCTCCAATTCTGGTCTCAGTTTAACTCCTCCACCATCACCTTCAGTTCCCTTGAGACTCTACTTAAAATTGACATGTTATGGTCACCTGCCCTAATCTGTCCTGAAGTGGGTCTCTGCAATGCCTCTGTGGATAGGTTCAGGCTGGTTATTACATCACAGCTGATATCTGCTGCTGCTGCAGTCCCCCCCCCCCGACTGGTGAACAATATGAAACTGCAGTATCTCATTTGATTTAATCTGACTGAAAGCTACAATCAGGAGGCTGTGCTCAATGATGCAGAGTCATCAGTACAAATCCAACCACAGCAGCTCGTGCAATTTAAATGTAATAAATGTAAAATAAAAAATCTAGCCATGGTAATAAGGATCATAAAATGAAAAGACAGTTATAAAAACCAACCTGGTTCAGTTGAGCCCTTTAAAGGAAGGGAAGCTATCATCCTTACCTGGTCTGGCCTACACGTGACTCCAGACTCTCAGCAACGTGGTTATTCTTCACTGCCCTCAAATGGCCTAGGGGTCTACTAGACTGTCCTGATAGAAATGTTGTGTTCTGTAGGGTAAGGTGGCTGACTGTCAACCTCAGAACAAACACTGGTCTTGCCGCTGACACCCACATCCCAGGAATGATTGAAAAAACACGCTACATGCATTGCCCAATGTCAGATGTACCTTAATAAATAACCGAGATCATCCTTGTCCTACTTGACAACATTCAATTCCTGGTTCACTGTGACTGTTTCTGAAGTTCTGCCTTTCTCACCTGTGAAATCATGACTTCATTAGCGAATGCTGTAAGCAGGAAGTCACCCGTGAACCTAAAACTTTTACTCATAATATTTGTGTCCATGTTGTAAGAAGTCTTACAGAAACTCTCAGACACCATATCAGTACTGATTTATTTTCAAAAATGTTCACTGCTGTTCAACACCAGAATGGTCGAATGTTACTGTAATGGAATTGAGGTTGTCTGGAAGTGACAGAATTAACCAGGGTGCAATCATTAGCAAATCTCTGCAGATCAGGTAACGAAAGACTGATCTAAATTCAAGACCATGGCTTAACATTGCTAAACCCACCCTAGTGGCTGAGAGGTGCCCCAGTTAAGAGTAGCCACTCGCTTAATGAAGAACTTGAAACCTGAGATTTTTACGAGCCAAGGGTACATATGGCTCTGGAGGAAATACATCAGATACACAAACCATCATCTCACTGAACGATGCAATAGGCTTAGGGCTCAATGCCATTTGCTGGTTTCAAATTCTGCAGTCAAGATGATTGGTCACAACTGGTAAAGAACAGGAACCATGCCAAGATCTGCTGAGTTTATCAATGGATTTTCGACAGATTGCTCAGTCTTTCACTTTCCTCAGCTCCTCGGATTTCCTCCTGAATCCCCTTTGATGGGCTGCTGCAGCATTCCATGTTTGACCTTCCCACCTTGTGCTGACAGTAAGCACCTCACTCACCCACACAGTTCCCCCACCAGCAGTTCTATGCATTCAGATTCCACTGAGGAATGGCTTACAGTCACCAAACCAAATGGCGCAGTTCGGAGTCACAATGTACAGCATTTACACAGCATCACATCATAACTCCTCCCACTCTTGGCCTTTTGCTGTCTCTGCTCTCAGCCATGAGCTCCGATGTCCTTTTTTTCTGTCTCTGATCAATTCTCTGCTCTTTCTTCAACTGATATTCAGCCATGTTATCAATGCTCATTTTGTACAAATTACTGTAGCTAATTGCAGACCCTGAGCCTGTCAAAAAGAAGAGAAAGAACAGATAAAGGCTAGAATCTACTCGAGGGCTTTCGTGCAATTTACGTGTAGAACAATATATCTGGGAGTGAGTTGCAGACTGGAATCTAATTGAGAGGTTCAGCGTGATTTATATAAGAATTAATATACGGTTCATAATAAATTTACATTCCCGTAAGGCACAAAACCCAGCAGGAAAAGTGATCCAACTGTAGGTAACAAGAGAAGTTAAAGATTACATTTCATCAAAGGAGGAAGCTTATAAAGTTGCCAAAAAAACAGCAGGCTTGAAGATTGGGTGCATACCAGAATTCAACAAAAGAGAACCAAGAAACTGATAAAGAAATGGAGAATATATAACTCTAAATTGGCAAGGAACATAAAAACATACTGTAAATGCTTCTACAGGGATGTAAAAAGGAAAAATAAAAACATGGGCCCATATAGGCAAGACAGGAGAATTTATAATAATGAGTAAGGAAATGCTAAAAAAAACTGAACAAATACTTTGATGTGTCTTCAGGGAAGAAGTTACAAAAAACCTCCCAGAAATAATTGAGAACCAAGTGACAATAAGAAATGGAAAGAAATTAGTATAACTAAAACACAAGTACTGGAGAAATTAACATTACTGCAAATTGACAAATACCCGATCCCGAAGACGTCCATGCCAGAGCTGGAAGAGACAGTGGCTGTAGAAAGTTAACAATACAAAATTCAACAGATTCTAGAACAGTACGTGGAGACTACAAAGTCGTAAACATTTTTTTAAGAAAAAAGGGAGTGAGAAAACAGGAACTACAGCCTGCAAGCCTCGCAGCCTTCACCAAGTAAGTACACTAATTAATATTAAGGACATGACAATCAGACACTGGACTTTCACAGAGTTAGAACTATTTACCCTCGAATACTGGCCAGTTGGAACGAATAACCTCTTTGATCCTCATTTGATCTGGATGATCCGGAATTTCCTATCAAAGAGATTGACACAGAGATGAACAGAGATTCATTTTTCATGGAATTCACAATGTCGGTTTGGGATTAGCGATCACAAGAGAGTCAAGCTAAGGAGGTTTCACAAACTCCCTTGTCTCAGCAGCCGCTGAATACAATGGGTTATGAGTGCCTTCAGCTCTAAACCCTAATTGCCAAATAGGAATTCCTGAATATTTGGAACTTGTTACCAAGGTCATATTTCCTATGAATTTGATGAGAACCCGTACTGTCCCATTTTCACTGCTCCCACCAGTCAACACATCACCTACCTACTGTTGACCATTACTGACCAGCAATCCCAGTTCCCAAACACTTACCCGCCACAGCCCCTCGTGTAATTGGTATAGAACAGCTATGTCACCATCCAACAGCCAGAGCCCACCACAGTCATCGAACGTCACATCCCAGGCTCGCTGCTTCGCTGTGATCGTCTGCTGGTGAATGAGTCTCTCAGCTTTCACATCCAACTCCAGAACATACACTGAGGAGAGACTGATCAACCAGGCAATTCAATACAGGAAACACACGCAAGGCAATAGCACAAAGTACTGAGTCATAAAGCTCACTCTACATTGTCGCCATCAAACACTCCCAGGACAGGGGCAGCACACAGTTAGGTACAGAGTAAAGCTCCCTCTACACCATCGCTATTAAACATTCACAGAACAGGAATAGTATGGGGTTAGATACAGAGTAAATTAGACTGATGACACTATTATGCACTGAGGTCTCCAATCTCCACACTAAACCATCCCATGTCTTAAGTGAAAAGGCAGACCCTGTGTCGGCTGGTGCCAATTTAAAGACTGTCAGATTGCCCCCTGAGGAACTATACTCAAAGCTCAGAAAAGGCAGCACAGGGACTGTGCTGAAGCTGCTTCGAGCCCTGGGAATTTTAGTTTCATTCAACATGGTGACTCGTAGGTGTAGGTGGGTAGGAATGGGTGGGGACAGGCTATCGACAGAGGATTTGGAACTCTTACCTGTCACACAGAACTGCAAAGAAATCCTTCCCTCTGCAGTGGACGAGACGTACCACAGCACATCTGTTCTGCAAGAAAAGGGTCAGCACTGGGGTTACCACAGTTCAGCAACACAGTCAGCAGCAGTCACCTCACCCGATTACAGCAATAATTAGGGATAGTCAACACAGTTTTGTGAAGGGTAGTCGTGCCTCACAAACCTTATTGAGTTCTTCGAGAAGGTGACCAAACAGGTGGATGAGGGTAAAGCGGTTGATGTGGTGTATATGGATTTCAGTAAAGTGTTTGATAAGGTTCCCCATGGTAGGCTATTGCAGAAAATACGGAGGC